CATTTAATGGACCAGTTGGCAAATCTATTTCAATGTCTGATTAGAAACGCATAGTCAGATTTGCCATAATTGTTGGTGAACCTATTATATGCGATAAGCAGTTGTTAAGCAGTGATCAACTGTACTTTTTCGAAATTATTAATGCGGTGAAGACAGGTGTTGTACCAGATAGATTTAATTCTAGAACACCTGGGCGACTAAACCATGTAAGGTGGTTGACACTAGCAAACCGTGTTCTACGCCTCTATATATCTACTGAAGATCTATCAAATGAACTAACACTTTTGGCTAAATTTCTTGTGAATTCATATGCGGTTGTTTGGTTTGACATTAAGAAACATTCAAACTGCTGGAATGCTGCTTCACACTATTATAAAATGATAGAAACATCACGATTTCTTCCTGTGTGTTATCGAATAATTGTTCAGCAAGTTTTGTAACGCAATAGCTATCCGGCTCATATCGAGAGCATTATTCTGGCTATGCTAAAAGACAACCGTCAAGTGATCCATAAGCTTGCGTTGAAGAGAAGTCTTCGTGCTCGTGAAGATGACATACAAAATCAAAAATTTCAACTTCCTGAAGTACGATTTCAAGCGACTAGTTATGAAGAACTGATTGACTGGCAAACACAGCCCCGCTTGGAACCTGTTCTGACAAAACATATTCCAACTGTACAAATATTGGCATGACTTTCGTCAGTTGAAGACATGGTTAATGACATTGAGCCATGTCACAATCAAAGTGTTCCATGTCACAATCAAAGTGTTGAACGTGTGATTAAAATTGTGACTGAATCAGCATCCAAAGTTTATGGTCATGAAAATCGTGATGGCTATATTCGCGTTCAACTGGAGCGCCGCAAGTTGATGCCTCGCTTTGACACAAAATCTGAATTTAAGAACATTTAAGTATAGTTTCTAATCAACATTTGCAAATGATACATTATTTTGACTGTTCAAATAATTTGAATTTTATTATACTCTCAATCAATAAATAATATAACAAATAAGCGTTTTTAAATTAATTTATTTGAAAACTTCAAAGGTAAAAATGCAAAGTATAGCAAAGTATTAGCGAAAAACGGTTTGCAGCATTGCATATATAATAAGCTAGTTTAGTTGTCTGCAAATGTTATTGAATATATATTTTTAAAGAGTTCTGAAATTATTCGTTTTAAAAATTTGTTTTCAATAGAATTTCTCTAAGATTTTTTTTTTTAATTGCGTTTATCTCGAAGTACGTAATAGGCGTTCTGCAGCATATACTTATAATGACGTAATATGAAGGCGTTCTGCAGCATATACTTTTAGTAAAAAAATAAATGAAGCAAAAAAACTTTTGTCAAAAAACTTTTAAATTTTTTTCTATCTACGGGCTTCTTTTTTATGCCTACACAGCAGCACTTCCTGGAGTAGCAGGATTGCCTTTCCATTAAGTTTTTTTATTATGTTTTAGACAATTTTTTTCATAAAATCCGCAGCTTATTAGGACTAATTACCTGAGCATATTATTTACATAAGAATCTCAATCATAACACATACGCAACAAATATTTTTTTCCGGTATTTTGATATTTCTAGAATTTTAAGCTTTTTTAATGTATTTTCGTTTGTTAAAGTGTATAATATTGTTACATATGTTTGTGTATAATCTCTAAAAAACTTCAAAAGTATTTTATATTTTAAAAAAATTAAAAGAAATTAAAAAGAAAAAAAAGTCACCAGTGCTAGGACTCGAATCACGCCTTTTTGGTTCAGAGGCTATGCACGCTATCTACTTGCCCACGCTGGCATATTGTTATGCAAAAACCTTTATAACTTAATAATATTTTTTTAAAGGGAAATAAATGCTACAGATTAAAACTTTGTAGATGTTGCAGTAACTCAACTAGGTAGTTCTCAAGTGTAGGTCAAACATGATACATAGTAAAACGTGATACATATTAAGTATTTTTTAACATTATTTATTTTCAAGCTTACGTTCGTTAAATACTTGCATACACATTCGTTAACGTTTTAATGTAACAAATAGTGCTATCACTCTTTCTCGTCATTACCTCGGTTGCATTGGCTGCTAAGGGTTCAGCGTCAAACACGCTCGAAATGGCACTAACACTACTATTAAGTTCACCAGTTATAGATTGTTAAATTACTAAAGTTACAATGGTGACCAAACCTAGACCACAATTCATTAATGCAAAACATCTTCCTAAAGTATGCGATAAAACGTAAATATAAGTATTCAAAAGTAAATAAATCATCGAATCAAAAAAAACTATTTAAAAGAAAATATTAGAAAATGTTAAAAAGTTATAGTATTTATATTCCTATAAAAATAGAAATTAATAAAAGAAAAAAAAAACACAAATAAAAAAAAGTAGGGGAAGTTGAGGTACAGTGAATTGAGAAAAGAGGAATTTTCTCAAAGATTAGAACTTTTTTATCTTGAAAATGTAAATGTTTCATGTGCTCATGTATTAGCAATCTTTATTCATAGTTTCTACCACATTGTTTTCGACTGCCGGTTATCGGTAAATAATTTTTTTTTAGCTAACTAAAGTAAAATTTCTAACCTCCCTTTCGTTTGTTATGGAGATCATGGTTCAAATAAATTTAATAGTTGAAGTTTTTCTTTCTGGTTAATAATATTTATGCTTCCTTCTGTAGTTTAGCTTTTTCTTTTACAATACTCATGTCCCAAGAAATTAGAATTAAACTTAATTTGTTATGGTGCTGCACAGTGAATTAGGGTACAGTGAATAGGTTGATTCACTATGGCCCATTAATGATTTTAACAGTTAAACTCATGCATTTTTAACAAACAAGCTACATGAAAGTAAATTTATTAGTTTCAAGCTATAAAACTAATATTGGATTAAGTTTTTAATTTTTAATATTTTTATAACTTTTGTTATCAATAAATTTTTTTTTTCTTCTTTTCAATTTTCATATTGTCTATTATTTCGATTTTATATTAATCTATTTAATAAAAGTATGTTAGAATTATAATTAATTGTACAATGTCTTTGTTCCCTCAACCTCAAAGTTATTTTGCTATGCCCCTATTCACTGTTATTAATTCACAGCTCTGTTCATCGAATCACTGCGCCCCAGTACTAGGGTACAGTTAATCACGTACCAAAATTAACTTTACACCATTTTGTGACCCGTTAAATAATATATATTTTGTTTTCAGTGATTTTTTATTATGAAGAACATATATCTCAATCATTTTGCCTTGAAGAAATTAAAATACGTGGTTTAACTTTTTAATAATAGTGTCTAAAAAGATATTGAAAAAAGTTTAAACTTTACACAAGATATGCAAAAAAAAAAAAATATTGAATTACAAAAAAGATGATATCGAAATTAGAGAGCAGAAATACGGAAGATTATAAACTAAGGCAGCTTGAAGATAGACAAATAACCAATAATCTTTAAAAAGCGGGATTGTCAGAAAATGAAAAGTAAAATTGGGATAATACCGAACTGATGGAATTGAATTTTTTTGAAGAAAAACCATATTTAAAGGAGTTGCAGTTGAACGGGTGCACAGGTCAGGAAAAATTAATACACGTAAACCAATATCAAAAGTAATAAAACTGTTAAATTTAAAAGAAAAAGTGTAAGTTTTGAAAAAATTGATTAAACTAAAAGGAATGGGAATATATATCAATGAGGATCATTCATTGAAAACTTCATCTTTCAGGAAAAAGCTTTTCGAGCAAATAAAGATAGATTGGAAAAATGGTATGATTTCGGTTGCAATTTACGATAACAATCTCCAAATCTTATTTAGTTTGAATATTATGTTTGTATAACCTTTCCTGTTGTTATGGAAGATATGAATTTTCGCAAAGTAATTCAAGATTATATGAAAAATTTTCAGATAATATGAAACATCATTCAAGATAATATGAAAAAATAATAATATGAATAAACATCATTAAAAAAAAAATGAAAAAATTCAAGATAATATGAAACATCATTTAAGATGATATGAAAAAAGATTTAAAAACCATCCAAACGTCTAACGAAAATTTAATAAAAGCTGACAAAACATTAAATATCTATAAATTATTGAAAGAAGAATATAATCATCTTTTAACTAATGCTATTTCTAACACTTATAAAAAAGCTGACCCAAACCTAAAAGATAAAACAAATAAAGAAGGAAAAATGTTTTGTGTTACCATGACGTTTATAATAAAATCAAAATTAACGGGTCATCTGGATGTTTTATAACATTAAAAGAGCATAAAGATAACTTTGCTAACAACCCTGGTGTTCGACTTCTAAATCCAGTAATGAATGAGGTAGGAAGAATAAGCAAAATTTATTTATCTAAAATTAACAATGACCTAAAAACTAAACTATTTTTTAACTATTTTTGTTTTTAATGGTAAAGCAACAATAATGTTACGTACTGGTTTATAAAAATTGAAGACAAACATTTGTACAAATTTTTAATTATGGACATTAATGATTTTAGGTAAAAAAGATTTAAGGTAAAAAAAATCTAACTTATACATTGTAAAAAATAAAAATATATATACGGGAAAATTCTAGATTTAGTCTAGCGGTTTTTTATTTTCTTATTTGGCCAGTATGGTACCCATATAGATATCGCGGCAAATTCTTTAATGGTTTTCGTTTTACATCCCGTACGGATTCCACACAGTACCCGCATCACAATGCTGACTGGGTCAAGACATATTAATATGCTTTTATCCTTAAGGCTGGTAATGTTTATATCAAAATCGCTAATACCTTTTTATAAAATTTTTATGATAATATGTAATCATCTGGAGACAGTTTTAATTAACAGATATTTAGTTAAAAGAGCTTTAATTAAAATATTTTAATTAAATTTCTACTTTTAACGTTAAATGTTCTACTTTTATGACATTTTTTTAACGTTAAGTATTCATTTTTAATTGTTGAAAGTATTGCTTAAAAGGTTAAAAATTCTACTTTTAACGGTAAATGTTTAATCTAGATGATAGTATTCATGGTATTGAACATCCTTTGTTTCCTTGCTGAAAGTGGTTTAGTAGTGATTTTAAATTTTGGATATGTCGGATATTTGGGCCAACCAAGTAGAGCTATGTTTTGTATGTATAGAAAAGAAGAATCCACGTGCTTCTGCAGTTTTGAAACAGTGCGAGGTGAATATGATATTTAAAAATAATTTATCATTATTATTGTTATTATTATTATTATTATTATTATTATAAATATTTTCATTATAAAATTGTCTGGCATTTTTAGAAAATGCTGCAAAAAAACCTTAGCATTAATCTTAATTTTATTGCCCCTAAATTTATTATACAAACTATTCCTTATTTGCTTTGTGACAAAACGTTAAAACTATATAACTATGACAAAATTTAATATATCTCTATCAAGAATTAAAAGTTGACTCTCTCTTAGCTTATATTGCGCCTACCAAAAATGCACAGAAAATTAAAAAAAAAAATTCAAAACATTTGTTAGAGTGTTAATAATGGTTTTGGTAAAGGCTTACATCATGATTTAGGTCCGTTTAGGGTTTACACTACGCGACATAATGATAAGACACCCCAAAAAAGATTTATAAAACTCTACTATACGTTAATATCTAAAAACTAATTTTTATTGTAAATCAATGCAAAGGGTTTACTACTACAGGTATACAAATATACTTTTAACGTAACTCGCATTAAAAAAAAAAAAAGTCAGTTTTTTCAGTGCGCCAAAAAACAATTTTACAAAAAAACATTTCGTTTGCAAACCGCAGTTGTGGGCATTTAGAATAATTAATTGATGTAAACACCACTGGCGATTATTTAACTGTAAACTTTTGTGAACTGTCAAAACTTTAGTTTACTTTTTTATCTATTAAGTATAAAAAATCAAGTTAAATAATAATGGGTTGTGCTGCACCGTTAAATCCAGATGAGAAGCTAGTGCTTTCTAACTTAGCGAAAAGGGGTAACTCTGTTCATTACATGGCTAGGGCTATTGGACGCAGCCGAGCCGTGATTAAATACTACGCTAATAGTCCTCATATGTATGAAGTAAAAAAAGTCCCGGACGTCCATCAACATTAAGTGACCGTGATAGACGAAAGTTGTTGAAACAAGCTTCAAATTCTTCATTAATTGCACATCAAATTTTTGCAGAAGCATGTGTGATTGCTAACTTACGTTCAATTCAGCAAGTTAATCATATTGCTTTTCATCTTTCACGCAAAAAACTTTAGCGAAAACAACCTTTGACAACTAATCACATAAATAGTTGAATAACTTTTGCGAAGGACCACGTAACATGGGAAGAAAAGTGGCAAAAAGTAATATTTTCTGGCGAAAAACGATTTTGTCTTGATGGGCCTGATAAATGAAATTATTATTTTCACGATTTGCGTATAAAACCAGCAACACAGCAAACGACGTCAAACTTGTGGTGGTGGTGTAATGATTTGGTGTGCGATTTGGTATCATGGTAAATCAAAAATTCATTTTATTGACGGAAAAATGGTACCGGTTTAAGATTCAGCAAGTTTCATGATTTGACTGTTCGGCTTTGTTTTGTTCACAGTAGCCCGTCATTCCGTTGTATCCCTTCCTTTTCTAGAAAACCTTACAGTAGTAGGATTTGTGATTTCCCGACCTATCTAGCTTTACACTCGACCACGGCTTTTTAGATAAATTAAGAACATTCAAGTTTCTATCTATGCCCAAATACAGACTAACTTCATAAATTAAATTTTTTTCTAATAAAACGTTTTTATATTAGCGATTGTTAATTGTTGTTAACTTTTTTATTAGAAAGATTGAAGTTATTAAGTTAAATCTTTTAGCGCGTATTTGAATAACATAAAAAAAAAAACTTTTCATTTATTAATTAAACAGTTTAATAATTTCTCCATTTTAGGAAAAAAAGTGAAATATTATAATTTTAATGTCACATTTTATACAGCCCCATTATGTCAAAGAATTCAAAAGTGTAGGACTATTTCACCCAATGTACCAATTTGAAAGTGATAAACGCAATAAGTCTTTAACGATAATATCAAACAAAGATGGAAATACTTCATTAATGATTACCCACTTAAATTTTAAACATGGAGTTTCTTTACCTACACGAAAAGAAATCGGAAAAAATTCCACGACCAAATGAATTTAAATTATCAACACTTTTGTTTCCGTTGAAAGAGTGCCTTTTAGAAAAATTGTCGCTAAAACGGTTGCTCTTGATGGTATATCAGTTAGAACAAATACAAAGTCTAGCTTTATTCGTGAAAGTTTAGTAAAATCAAACTATAATCTTCCTAAAGTCAAAAGAAATGTTACGAATTTAATTCATAAATTTTATGAAAAGAAGATGTCGGGAATGCTAGAATCGTTATATGAAACAATTAAAGAAGTCAGATGATTTAACCATTCACTTGATGAATGGACGAGTATGAAAATTCGGAAATATCTAAATATCAATTTACATAGAATTAACTCTGAACTCTAAGGAACAATTATCTTTACTTCATTGGAAACACATAGATTCTAATCATGCTAATTTAGCCTATGATTTGTTTTTAAAAACATTTTTTGAAATTTATGATATTAATTTTCCTCAACATAAAATACTAAAAAAAAATAAAGTCACCATGAATTACAAAAGATCTCAGAAAAAGTTCTAAAGTTAAGCGAAATTTGTAAGTAAAGTATTTAAAAACGAGGACATTAGAAAGTAAGACAATTTATAAGAATTACGCTAAAAAATTTGAAACCCAAAAACAAAATTAAAAAAAAAGATACTTTATAAATTTACTAGAAAAGTATAAAAAAAATTCAAAGCAAACATGACAAATTATAATGAATATTACAGGCAGTAAGAAATTGATAGCTAGCTCTCTACCTAGAGTTATTAAAATTGATAATAAAATATTTTATGATCCGAGAGTAGTAGCAAATAAAACAAATGAATTCTTTACTTTAGTTGGATCAAATTTAGCAAAGAAAAATTCTAATATAAAAAAATTAATAAACAGATGTAGTTTTCCTTTAGTATCTTGTCTAAATTCTTTTGAATTGTCTTTTGATGAATTTGATAGAGCTTTTAAAATGCTAAAGCAAAATAAAGCAGTCGGTCCTGATGATATCAAGGGAAACATTGTTATTTATTCCTATAATATCATAAAAAATATCCTTTTTAAAATATTTAAATGTTCAATTCAACAAGGAATTTTTCCTGATGAATTAAAAATAGCAAGAGTTTCAACAATATTTAAAGGTGGAGACTTACTTAATGTTAGTAATTATCGTCCAATATCTCAAAATATTTTCACAAAAATTATAGAGAGAATTCTTTATAATAAAATTTTGAATCATCTTTCTCAAAATAATATCCTATACAAAAAGCAATATAGATTTAAAAAAAATAACTCCACTGAACACGCCATACTTCAAATAACACAATATATTACTGAATCATTTGAAAATTCCAAGTTTACTTTAGACATTTTTATTGACTTGTCTAAAGCCTTCGATACGATTGATCATAAAATTCTATTTAAAAAACTTAAATATTATGGAATCTCTGGCAATATTTGAAGCTTTTAAAAAGTTATTTACTATGACGTATCATCGAAATCAAAATTGTTAGATATAACATGTGGAGTTCCCCAAGGGTCTGTCCTAGGACCACTACTATTTCTCATATACATAAACGACCTCTATGAAGCATCTAGTTTAATGACAATTATGTTTGCTGACGACACGAACTTTTTTTTATCTCATAGCAACAAAGCGACACTATTTCAAAGTATGAACATAGAATTAATTAAAATTTCTGAATGGTTTAAATTAAATAAGCTTATTAAATTGAAAAACTAAAATGGTCTCTTTTTCATCCATGCTACAAAAAGTATATATCTAACTATCTTCTACCGAGTGAATTGCCTGCTCTTTTTATAAATGACATGGAAATTAAAAGAGTAACGGCTACAAATTTTTTAGGAGTTTTTATTGATAAAAATCTGATATGGAAAAAACACATTGAAAACTTATCATCTAAAATTTCCAAAAGTATAGGAATACTATTCAAAATAAGAAACATGCTAAATAGACATACTTCAGTTCAGTTATACCACTCTTTTATTCATTGCCATCTAAACTATGCTAATGCGGCTTGGGGTAGTGTTAGCAAAACTAAACTAGAACCGCTTTATCGCCAACAGAAACATGTTACACGACTTATTAATTTTAAAAATCGTTTTTATCATGCTAAGCTTCTTTTAAACGAAATCAATATTCTTTATATATATTAATTGATAATATATAACTTAATACTTTTAATGTATTGCGTTTTATGTTTAAATGTAAAACACGCACATCACCTATTTCTTTTCATAATTTATATTCTTTAAAAGTTAAAAATAAATACAATTTGCGTAATGAAAATTTTATTCTTCAACCAGTTTTCAAAACTAATTTTGGTTTGTTTTGCATTTCATTTAGATGAGCATTTTAATGGAACAAAATAGTATTAACACTTTTTGATTTTTCTCAAGAATGGAGCTTTCTATTATTTAAAAGAAAGTTGAACAAAGTTCTTTTTTCAATTGAAAACATCCTTATATATTTTTAAGTTTATTTTGTTTTATATGAATACTCTTAAGAAATCTTTTTATCGTAATTACGATAGTATAAGTTACGACTGTAAATTTTTTTTTTATCGGCAAAAGTGTAAATAAATAATTTATATATATGAAATCTTTTTTCTTAACTTATATATATATATATATATATATATATATATATATATATATATATATATATATATATATATATATATATATATATATATATATATATATATATATATATATATATATATATATATATATATATATATATATATATATATATATATATATATATATATATATATATGTATATATATATATATATATATATATATATATATATATATATATATATATATATATATATATATATATATTATATATATATATATATATATATATATATATATATATATATATATATATATAAGTATATAGATATTTGTATGTTTTCATAGAATTAAATGTGTAAAAAATTATATTTTTATTCAAGTGTGAATATTTATATATGAATTTTTTAGAGGATTATTTTTTATTTAAAAT